TAGAGAGAGTGGCTGTGGTGTCAACTACCTCAGAAAAGCCAACGGGGATGCTGATGAACGTATCCATTGAATCAGCTTTCTAGAAGGTCATGGGTGAACTCATGAGTGGTTTTTCGGTGGTGTTGAATGGGCATGGGTCTGACTGTCATGTGTTGGCTAGTGGATGGATGCTGTGGGAATGGAAGTGCCTTATTTTGGAAGTAGTTTGGTTCTAAAGGGAAAGTGAGATGTTGGGTAAAATAAAGAGGAAGGTAAGTTCTCAAGGGTTGCTGGTAACATGGAAGCCTACTCATGTTTATGAGGAGAAAGAACGAGAGTGAGATGCAGCAGATATGGGGAAAGAGGGATATGGGAACGACCCCACCCAATCGTGGGGACAATCAACAGCTTCTTCTTCCCTCGGACCGACCGAGAGAAGAAGAATTAGTCTTTCCATCAGAGAGCGGCAGAGGCCTCTCCACCACCAAGTCCAGTGGTACGATCTCTGGTAACAGAGAGTGGTGCTGGATCATTGCCCAGAGGGCTCAGGTAAGGAGTTTCAGAGATACTCAAAAGCATTTATGATTGGGCGTGTGTGTGGTGTGATGTCCTCAGGGCTCATATGAGGCAAGTGGCAGCCTGAGCTGCAACAAGGGGAAGCACGAGTACCTTGGGGTCACAGGGATGGGCAGGGATGCGCAATCCAGGAAGGAAGTCACACTAATGCAGGCCAAGGAAAAGAGAAGGAAGAAGAAACAAGTAAGGGAGAGATGAGCATCACTAAACATAAGAAAAGAACCAGAGAGTTGAAAAAGTAGGTGTAGGTGTTGTGGCAGTGTGTGGGAGCCCCAGGAGAGCAGACTGGACTTAAAACAGTCACCAAAATTATGATAGACATAAAGTGAATCATGTGAACAGGTAAAGAGAAGTAAGTCATACAGGTGTACCTTTGGATTTTTTACTTATTTATTTGAGCAAAAACATTTTGCCATTTACCAGTTTTGTGGTGCTGTAATTTCCAGGGCCGTGCATAAACCTATAGTTTATACACAATGCATCCGAAAAATTTCTGCTTTGAAATGTAGTAAAATCTTCAATAATTTGCAATTAGGTAGGCTAGAAGGTGACATCTTGTTGTAATGAAAATTTAATAAAAAAAAAAGCCACAATTTTTACTCTCACATTTTTGAAGCAGTTAAAGCCGGGCTAATAAAAGTTGCTGCTTCAAGGTATGGGAAACTATTTTTATCAATGGTCAAGGTAGAATAGTTGTCATAAGTAAATTTTGCTTTTAAATGGTGGGGGTGAGAGATTGTGCTATAAACTAGTTCAAAAGTGTTTGGAAGTGATTTACACTTTTAAGTTGATTAAGCAGGCATGTTCCATAAACAATTTTATTTTCACTCAAGTCTAGGCACATACCTGTTTGGTCTCAATAGAGCGATAGTGGGAAGTCCCCTCACCTTATCCTCCAGGATAACACTCCCTCACTTCTTCCTCCTGTCCCAAGTGCCTCTGTTAGGGCTTTGTTACTTGGTATTCCAGAGTCCTAACATTCCACTTGAATTAATCATGGATACTTAGAGCAAAATTACTAGGAAAACAGAAGGAACGGGCTATCTTAGGGAAGAAGGAAAAGATCGCTTTTGGAGAAGTCCTCCCCTGGTAAGGCAGGGCTGGCTAGATGCTAAACATGGTAGTTCTGAGTAGCCAGGGGCTGCAGGTTGGCGCACCTGCCTGGTCCCCCAGTGATTTCCTATTACTTGTTTAGCACACCCTTTTATTATAGTTAATACAAAGCTCACATGCGCTGCTTTCTGAGTTTTGATTAACATCTAATTAATTTTTCTTATGATACACTCTCAAAAACATTTGCAAATCTCCCCCTCCCCAAATTACCAATGATTTCTTCACTGACACTGAAGGAAGATAACTTTTGTATTTCAGCCCCAAATCTGTACACAGCCAGTTCGGTTGACTGGGACCAGTCAGTTCAGAACCAACCAGTTAGTTCCAGATAAAAATAGTCACATTGTTTATAGACATCTTTTTAATGTTTTACTTTAAAACAAATGAGCCCAGTAAAAGAGAGCAAAGGAGATTACATTTCAATGATAGCTTGAGATGGGTATGATATTCCTGATTGATTTGTTCTCAGGAACAGACAACTGTATTGTCATACTCGACTTTTAGAACTGCTCACTTAAAATGCACATAATTATATTAAGTTTCTCTTACAAAAACACAACCATGTCATTTAAGGCAAAAAATATCAGCTTCTGGGGAGATAAGTTAATGTTTCTGACATTTTCTCAGTCTGGTTGGATGAAGTGATCCATTAATTTAGTTGTTCAGGTTTCGTTCTTTCTTGTAGTTTTGCTTTGCCAATGGGCATGAGAATTAGTCACTGTGCCTGATTTCCTCCTCTCTATTAGACTTGTTTCACCTGCAAATTATGAACTTTCAGAATCACTGAGTCAATGGGAGGTGAGAAAGGCACCTTTGAACAGGAGATAAAGACTTAAAAACTCAATAAAATGTCTCTTACTTAAAACAAAACTTGCAACCTACAGATATTAATTTAATTGAACAAAATGCAAACATTTAGACCAGACACAGCAATATTTTTAGTCAACCTCATATAAGGGATGTTTGCCAGTGTTAGCTTGATCAACCCTACATATTGAAGAAGGCAGACAAACTTGAACTGAGAAAGCATGTGGCTGCTCTGTGCTCAGCTAAATTGTGCTTCAAGACACCATTTGGCATCGACCACTGGGACTTTGCTAAGAGTAAATGGGAGACCCCTCTCAACTCCGTAGAGAGTAACACAACAGACAAAACCCTACAGCTTTCATACAACTATCTTTGAACATCCAAGAGTTTTTGTGCTAGAGTAAGGTATACACACAAAATGGTCATGGCTTCAACGTATAAAAGTTTTTCGCATCGTGGTTTATCACATTTTGCTATGATTAAGACCTCAGTGATGCATTTAGGGCTTGTTTCTGAATCTTCAGTCTTCAGCAACGCTGGATGAACTGTACTGTGTCGGAGGCCTAGAGAGGCCTAAGGAGGGGTCCCCAGTACATTCAGAATTCCTGCTGCCAGTGGGGTTCGACCCAGGACAGGGTGTGTCCAGGAATCAGTGCTACCTGAAAGTTGCTGCCTCCCTCCTCTTCCTCGACTGATAATTGGAGAGAGCCTGCCAAGTGCACGGCAGGTGTCTGGCTTTAGGTCAGTGGAATGATGTGTGTGTGTGTGTGTGTGTGTGTGTACCACCTCCTTGGGAGGGTGTATCACAAGTTCAGTTTGAGTGGAGACATAGTAGGTGAAAAATTGCATTTCATAATTTACTAAAATTCTGTGCTTCAAAAATGAAAACCGTTGCTTTAAAAGCTTGATAAAATCTTTTTTTGACTGGAGAAAAAATTTAGACCCTAACTTCTGCGTGTCTCCAGCAGCCAAGAAGATGCTGAATGATACACTCCAGGGGAGTGTGCTAGAATCCAGGTGGGTTGAGAAGAGGAGGCGTTTAGAATTTCAGTGTTTATCAAAAGGGACAAGGATTTTCAAAGGTTGAGAAGCCTATCTGAGGAAGAGCAGAGAAGTGGTTTACTTGGGGATGGAGACCGGGTAAAGCCTGGCGAAGTTCAGGAGCAAAACAGTGGCAGGGAACTAACTGAGAAGTTAACGAAGAACAAAGGTCGGAGGAGAGTCAGGGGTTGGAGACGGCCTGCTGGGGGAGCCAGGTGGGCAGGATGGGTGGATTTCAGGGTCTCCTCCTGCCTTTGGACAGCCGGTTGCTATCCCTGCTTTGTCTCCTGGCTGCTGAAGGTTTTTTTGGAGGAGCACTATCTGCCAAGGAAAAAACTCTTCCTTCCTTAAGGCCTGTGGCTGGAGTGGCACTGAACTGAAGTGCTCTCTGGCTCCCCCTTGCCTTTTGAATGCCGTTACCTTGGCTGAAGTTCTGAGACCACTAGAGAGGTTTCCAACAAGCAGTTGGCGTGGCTTGCTTTCTGGTAAATGCATCTCTCATTTTGTTTCCCTTGGGTCCTTGCTGCTGTGCTATATGATTTAAGTATTTTGATCTGCAGACCCTGCAGGGGGTACCTGGCTTCTAACTGTGAATGTGTACACCAGGAAACGGAACCCCTAATTAGAGGTTTGGGGCAACATTCTTGGGGGAGCATAGAAAACGTTCGCTACAGTATAAAAAGTAAAGGAAGTTGAGTTGTAGCCTTCCATATGCAAAATGTACTAGGTTATTAGCAAAAAACATTCAGGGCGTAGTAAAAAATAAATACCTTGCAAAATTCTCTGTTTATATATAAGAATAAGGGATGTTTAGGTAGTTGAATATCCTAGCAATATTCATCTTCTAAAAAGATCAAGTTCTTCTATTTTGGTTTGTTTTTCTCCCTCTCATTGCCTTCTGAGGGCAAAGCTATTTTCGTTAACTTCACCTACTTCCTGGTGTTGTGTCTGGATTCTTTTCAAGCCTTTCTCATCTCAGTCTCACCCAAATGTCTAATTCTCCAGGATCCTGCCTGTATTATCAGTTCAGCGGGAATGGTTTCTCACACTCGATATGGTTTCTCACACTTGGGGCAGCCCTGGCAAGCCAGGAGTGGCGCGTTGCAGAGAGATCAGCCCCAGGGCACTGGCCCTTCTACTCAGGAGGACTGTATTCGCGCGTGTAGAAGTTGACCACGTATAAAGTTGATTCAGCCATCAGGGACTATGTTCCCGTGAAATCACTTGTGTCGGATAGTCTATTTGCCCCACTGGCCCTGAATTTCATTATTTGCACGCTTTCTAATTGAAGAACATTCTTGTCATAAAGAACAACATGAAAATGATGTGCAAAATTGCTTGCCACAGCGTTGAATCACCAAAAGCACACAGACTGACATTCAAATTACATTAATAATAAAATGACTGAATAGGAATGGGTTGGCAAATATATCTTGAAGGAAGCAGCCATTTCTATTATTCCCAAGTTCTGCTTTACTCGATACCTTGTTAGCAGCGGTTGATGGTAGCCATTGTGTTTACATGTACATTATGGCCTAATTTTGAAAATGTATTTTGTATTTAATCACAAAGCAGAAATGCTTGAAATTTGAAGTTGTTTACTCCCATAATTTCAAAACACAGAGTCAAATCTTCTAAGTGACCTAATCTTGACATTTTCACACACCCCATAGCATTAGCAGTGTTTGGTTTCTCAGGATTTTTACACAAGGTACATTACTAAATGAGTGGGTTAATGTTGATGTACCTTGGAATTTCAGCCATCCCTAAACATGCATTTTCATGCAATTAAAAGATAACGGGCTTATAAACTGCCTTTCATGTTCTTCCTGATTCTTGCAATTTCAACTTTTTAGAAGGGCTTTCAAAATAGTTCATGCAATGATATGTATGGCTAAAGGAACTGCTATGCTAGAAGGAAAACGGAGACCTTATTTCAGTTTGACATGAGGCAAGCTGAGGGCTTCTGTACTTTCTCCTGCCTTACAAATGCTCCGAGATGATCGAGATCTTCCAGTCCTTAGAGAGTCTGACGCAAAAGCAGTTTCCCCGGCAAGCTGCGGCATGGCATCAAACGTGTCTGTCTCAGTCTCTTCGGGACCCACCTCTTCATCAGTTATAAATAATTTGGATTCCCTCCATTTGGGGTAAAAATCTTGGCTGCCTCTGGAGCCACTTGACTCACTCCCAGAAAGCTGTATATTCAGTTCCTCTGTCGACCTGATCAGGTTTTGTACCGACAGAGATTTGCCCAAGTCCTTGGGCACCACGGGGTGGACAGATAACAGAGTCTCTCCCCCCATGTCAAAGCTTTTCCTTAGAGCACGGTCCTTGGTCAGATTTGACTGTGCAACCTGAACATTTTCCTTGGAGGCAACAAGGCAGGTGGTGACATCGGAAATGCTTTCCTGTAGGCCTGCGGGGTTCGGGTGCAGGGTCTCTGGCCTGGGCAGATGCTTGATGGCTGGGAGAGGAGGTGGTATCTGTAAAGTTGTTGGGGCTGCTGGCTTAGGTGCCACATTTATTTGGTTTGCAATGTTGCTGGCGGCCGCTGCTGCGGAGCCATCACTTTGACTCATTGGCACCTGTGTTGCTTGACTGTGCATAGTAGGGCTAAGCGCGTAGAAAGTCTGAGCACTGAACTCATTTGGCGTCAGAATGAACTGCAGGCCTCGGGAGATGTTGGCACTCGCTGATCTGGATAAGCAGCCACTGTTCTGTGCGGAACCGGACAGGTCTTTGCTATCCACGGGGCTTTGATAGTCAGATGTCTGTTCACATTCAAAAGGTGGGATCTGGAATGAGGCCAAAGTGAGGGCGGAGGCAGAGCCTTTCCGGAGGACCTGTTGATATATATCGAGTAGGCAGTCCAGCTTGGACTCGATGGACTGTACCTAAGAGTGGGGAAATTGGTCACATATGAGTATAACCTGTCGTAAGAAGGAGCTTCATTTCTAGAATTAAAACAGTGCAGTCAGAGTGTGTCAATACAGTTAAATATTGAGTACAAAGTCTAACGTAGTGGTGAACCTTAGTACAACCTCAGAATGCACGTACGTCTATCCGTGGTGCAGCCAAGGGTCTGATTTGGGAGGAGAGGTTCGTTTTGGTCTCTACATAATCTCCCCCCAATACCCCTCCCCGCTAACTCTTTAAAATGAACAGTTGATGTTCTCAAAAAACATATAAGCACTATACAAAAGCAACTGCAAGACTGCCAGCCCAATCAAGTTGCCTTTGCTAAGCCTCCTCCAAGAAATCATTCTGGGACTCTACTGCGGTCTAGTCAGGGACTCCTCTAATTAAATTAAGACCTTAAATATCAATGTAGGTGATTCTGAATTTAAAAATAAAGGTACAAAATGCTTCCGAATTAATACTTGACGTATTTTTGATTAGATTGGGGGAGCAATTTGATTTCTGGACAACTGTCGTCTTTTTTTAATTGTTTTTAATTTTAATTCCAGTCTAGTTAACATACGGTGTTATATTAGTTTCAGGTATACAGTATAGTGACTCTGCAATTCCAAAAGGTACTCAGTCCTCATATGATAAGTATACTCTTTCATCCCCTTCACCTATTTAACACCCCCCCCACCCCCAACCTCCCCTCTGGTAACCATCAGGGTGTTCTCTATAGTTAAGACTCTGTTTCTTGGTTTGGACAATTATCTTTGTACGAGAAGATACAGCTTCAGGGTTAACAACTGAGGTTTTGTTTTGTTTTTTAAAAAAGAGTGAAAAAGAGAGTGACAATCACCAAAACACATATGAAAAATAGATCTCTGTTATTTTACTGTGGAAAATCTATAGTTGCTTCCAGTGCAAGTATTCATAGATGAGATGAAATTGTTTATTCCTTATATGGAAATCCAAGTGTTTTAGAGAACACTGTCTATGCACAAAAAATGTAGTTTCATTCACTCTTTCTTGATTTTCTTCCTTTAAAATATATTAATCACTGGGAAGCCTGGGTGGCTCAGTCGGTTAAGTGTCTGCCTTCAGCTCAGGTCATGATCCCAGGGTCCCCGGATCAAGTCCCACATCAGGCTCCCTGCTCAGTGGGGAGTCTGCTTCTCTCTCTGTCCCTCTCTCTCTCTCTCAAATAAATAAATAAAATCCTAAAAAATTTATTAGTCACTAAAATACATCAAATGACCTACATTTCTGATTAAAAAAATTCAGATGGAAAAGTTAGCCACTACAGTTGGATCGTACCTGCTTCTCCACCTTGACCACCCGGCCGAGCATACTGAGGTCATCGGGGGTCTCGTGTTCTGCTGTTATTTTCTCTCGGCTCTTCTTATCCGATGTGATTTGCCCTTTTCCAAGAATTTGGTCAACACTATCAGAGAAAGAGGAGATCTGATTATAAATGCTGAAGACGGAGATTGCCCCAGGACAGAATGAAGTGTTTTGAAAAGAAAAATGAAAGACAATTATCTTTAATTTATGTAAGATGACGTAAAAATGAACATGTTCCAGTTGATGTGCTTATTTTCTTAACATGAGAATTACACATGAGATTAATTTCTCATTATTCTGGTCCATGACGAAGTCACTTATGGGCAGTCTTCTGGAGGTGGAATTGTCCTAAACTACAAAGTAATTTGTCTGTTTCCATCTTCAACCAGCCATTTCCTGAATTTAACTGCTGAAAATATGACAAAATCGTAATTATGATTATTTCATGTTAATAGAACAGATTCTTCAGTGAACATTTACTATACAACTGATATGCGGGAGCTAAGCAGACAGAAAGTGATCCGACTCCGCTTTTTGGAATTCTAGTTGGAGAATAGACACCCCATGAGCTGGAAACTTAAAATTAGTTCTACAACTTCTGTAGTAGTTCAACTTTATACAAACCCTTGTTTTATAATAGTTCTATTAAAGGACTTGGAAGACCATGGCCACGTGGGCAGAGATTGTAACATGACCACAGGATGAGTTACAACCATTTCCAAGGAGACTTGATCCACTGAAATGGGAATTACTTTCTTTTGTGCGTGTGTTGGAGCTGAATTATCAGGGGTACGGACTCAACGTTCCAGTTTACAGGCAGCGCCTACCTCCTGTCATGACATCTAATATGTTATACTGCAAACTCCACAAGGACTAAGTCATTATTTTATTAATCTCTGAATGTCCATAGTGCCTGGCACACATTAAGCGCTCAATAATTGTCTGCTGGATAAATGAACGAACGAATGAACGAACGAACAAACTGTGATTTCTAGAATTGATCACCAGGTGGTTTACTAAGGGCCCAGTATATGCCTCCCGCTGGGCTAAGTGTGCTGTGGGCATATAAACAAATGTTTAAGACTCTCTCCTTGTGTTTTAAAAAACTCTTCAAACACAAACACCGGTAATTTGTGCCTGAGAATGAAGCAAGTCTCTTAAAAAACCGAGATGACTGAGCATTCTGGCTTCAAGATAACACAATCAAACGTGGCTGCAGTAACATATCAAACTCATTTCTTAAGATGCTCACCAGGGAGACAGTGTGTATCTGGCACAGTACAGGATGCTAAGGAAGGCAAAAGCCAGCCTGAGTCACGAGCAGGAGGGAGTAAACTTGCACCCAGGGCACAACACAAGAGCCAACCACTCGTTTTTGAATCCAATTCTCGGGCACAGTGATACCAAGATTATGAGTGTCTCTGTGCTCTGTGGTAGCTCTCAGTGCTATAGCAGGTCAGAGAAGGGGAAGGGTCTGTTTTTGTGGGCCCGACGGTCAGGAAAAGTTTAATAAGGGAGAAAGACGGCTTCTTTTTGAAGGACAGTCGGGATTTGGAGAATAACACAACAACAGCCGCAGCAATCATTCCAGTGACATCAGTGACAACCATTAACAGTTACGGGGCACCCGGTTAGCAAGTAGTAACTCATTCAGTCCTGGTGACAACCCTATGAAGCAAACACTGACATTATCCCCATTTTTACAGATGAGGAAACTGAGATACTTCATGCTGTAGATGGAGGCTTTTGATGCCTGATTTATATCCTTAAATAAAAATCTACACTAAAAGCAAAGTCCAGTTATCCATGAAAAATGAATTAGAGCTATGAGAGCCCCGAGTTTTCTCTACAACAGAGAAGTTACTCTCAGATAGTTTTTATGCCTATCCCTTCAGAACAAATCACATTTCTATTGCTTACCGTGTTTGGAGACTTTTAATTCTACACAACATGTCTAGATGACCAGCAGAATACTGTTCAATGACATCTTTTACATCATATGGGCGTAATGTTTCCTTAAACTTCCGTTTTGCAACATGAAATTTCATAATCCTGTAAGAGCAACATATTCCATATTAATCTCCATAACTTTGCTAAAAGAAGTTACTCAAATAACTTGCTAGTAAATATGAGAACTCTGGGGGAAAAAAGAAGTCATGCATCAAATTATTTTAGGTTCCTCCAGAAATGCAACATAAAAGCCCACGATTATAGTGGGCAATTTAAGAACATCTCATGGGAGGCACACACTGAGAGTTGAAAAACACATAAAAGAGACTTAATACTAAGTGTTATACCTTTTTACTGTTCACTGAAATCCTGAATTAAAATCAAAGTCAAAATGCAGTTCTGCCTTTTCGACGTGACCCTCGGAAGTTTAAGAAATAACACCTAGTGACTGCATCCCTTAAAAAATATAAAAATTGTTAAAACGGTCTTTTATGTAACTATGCAATTTCAGATGCAAATGTGTCTGCAAAACTCTTAGTCTCTCTAGAGAAATGTACGTTTGTATAGAAATTTTTGAAAATTCTGTTTCATAAGTTACTTTTGCAGGATACTGCTCGATTAGGTAGCCATGTTCCTTTTGTTTCAAATGTAACACACTCATCCACTAGGCTTGGATATCTAAGATTTCAGAACCAGAGATCTCTTTTATTACAATGCTTCCCCTGACATGGACCTCATGCTTTTTTTTTTTTAAGATTTTATTTATTTGAGAGAAAGAGAGAGCGCGAGAGAGATCAAGCTTGAGCATAAGCAGGGGGGAGGGGCTGAGGGAGAGGGAGAAGCAGAGCAGGGAGCCCTGATACCCGATGCCCAGAGCTCCATTCTAGGACCCTGGGATCATGACCTGAGCCAAAGGCAGATGGTTAACCGACTGAACCACCCAGGCACCCTGGACGTCATGTTTTAAAAGAGTATTTCATCAATAAATCCCATGATGCCATAAATAGCTATGTTGCCTAAGATAAACAGTTACTGTAATAACGATATTATTCCTGAAGAAAGCAAAGAAGCATAACATTTTAATGAGTCTGTGCAGTCTTAGTGCAGGTAAATGTTAAGCCTGCCAGTGTTTTTTCAACTATTAAATGGCTCATAGATCCCCGTTATCATACTCATGGATCTCAGGCTGGGAATCAGTCAGTTAGGTTCTGCAAACCACAATTTGGTTTCCCTTGGTGGAAAGCTGATTGCAAGGAATTCAAATTGTCTTATTGGTTAAGAAGCCCCAAACTCTATCTTGTGATTGTATTATTAACTTCAAATTAACTGTATCCTAATTATTTTGGAATCATTTATCTATAACAATCGTACTCCCTCTCTCTACCATATTTTCTCCACCGATCTCTTCTTTATTCAGGATAAATTTTTTGGGTCTGTTTTATTGTTTGTTTTTGTTTGCAGAAACACTGAAGCGTTATTCAGAGGAAAGTAGAGGAAATCTGTTTTATTTTAACCTCTTAGTATTTAGCTTTAGTTCCAAATTTGTTTATCAAATTTGTTTAGGGCTCAGTCTCCTATATAAAAAAAAAAACTGCGAAAACTAGTGAAATAGCTACCCTGTGAAATTTTTGGCCCCGAGTAATTATTATTATTATTTTTTAAAGATTCTTTATTTCTTTTTATTAGAGAGAGAAAGAGTATAAGCAGGGGGAGCGGCAGGCAGAGGGAGAGGGAGAAGCAGACTTCCCGTTGAGCAGAGAGCCTGATGCGGGGCTCGATCCCAGGACCCCAGGATCATGACCTGAGCCGAAGGCAGACGCTTGAAAGTCTGAGCCACCCAGGCACCCCAGTAATTATTTTTTAAATATCTGTTTCCCCACACTAAATTGTCAGCTACATGAAAGCAGGGTGGGCCTCTCTTATTCAACAGGTGGTGCTTAATAAATGTTAGCTCCTGTTACTACTGCTACTTCTACCCTGTTACTATCACCATTCTTCTTTAACACTGTGTACTCAGAGCTGAGCACACTTCCTGATACACAGCGGAAAGAAACATTTGTTGAATAAGAGAAGGCAGGAAAGAGAAAAAGAAAAGATCCGCTCATCTAGGTAATATTAAGAATAAAACCAGAAGAAAAGCTAATCCAACAGCCTAAGCCCTCTTTACTTACCTTCAGAGTAGCTAATGGTGCCTGGGTGGGTGGGGGGAAAAAGGAAAAAAATCATCTTTGTACTTCCCTAGGTGGTTTTTAATCGCTGTTGTTTGTGTTTTCAATAATATTACCATTTGTTATGTGAAGTACCTTCTTTTTTTGTTTTAAAGATTTATTTATTTATTTATTTGAGAGAGAGAGAGCAAGAGAGACAGCATGAGTAGGTGGAGGGGCAGAGGGGGAAGCAGGCTCCACTGAGCAGGGAGCCCGATGTGGGGCTCGATCCCAGGACCCTGGGACCATGCCCTGAGCCGAAGGCAGATGCTTAACCGACTGAGCCACCCAAATGCCTCTAAAGTGAAGTACTTTAGATGTCTTATCTTCAATAGCACTTAAGACAGTCTTATTTCCCTTTCAAATCTGGGGAAACTGAGATTCAAAGAACCTATGTGACTTGCCCCCACACAAGCAACCAGTGCGACGCAAAGCCAGGATCACACCCAGATCTGTCTGATTCTCACTCTCACATCACCTCCTGGTTTCCCATGGCATCAATTCTTCAGATGTTGAAAAGATTGGCTGGGATCTTTGGCAGTTTTTTTTTTCCCCTTGGCTATGGTGGTAGAAAACACGCTACATGCAGAGAGACGAGCTTTGGCATGAGTTAGTGTATTCCCATGGGCTGTAGCTCAGGCATTTGTGGTCTGTGGCGTGGCTGCCCAGCGGTGGACCCACATACCTCCAAACTGAATGACCTGTTTTGTCCTCATGGGGGCCTGCCCTTGTTTCTTGCAGGGAGTTGTGTGAATTCTCTATGGTAATTTGTCTCAAGAGTTGCATGTTGCTTTTCTTTTTTCCTTTCACCAGTACTTTAACAGAAAAACAATTTGAAGGCATTCAATAGACAGTATTATACTCTGGTCCATACTCAGTCATATTTTAAGCAGACCATAGATAATTTCATTTTATTTGCATAGTTTACCATTTATGAACTAGCCAAATTAAAGGAAAATCCATTTTTTATAATTTTGATCAATATTTATAATTTTGATTTGTACTGTTTGCCAATTTCCATGGTACAAATACTCCTACTATACTTCATATTTCAAGCTATCAATGTGACATCACTGAGCAAGAAGTTGGGAAGAGATGTGCAATATTATCATTAGATAGTATACCATACAGATACAATAGATGTGTATAACTCAAGGACATAGAGAGTAATATGGAGTACAGTGATTAGGAAGTAGTGAGTGTTGAATATGTATTGCCTTTGTTTTTAATATAACTCATTTTATTGTGAGTTTATACAATTTAATTTTTAATAATGGCTGTATTTAACAAGCAGCAAAATTCCCAAAAATGTAACATTCAGCTCCTGAGAGTCAGTACAAGCCGGCTCTAACCCATGCCTGCATATACTCCTCTTTTTCAAATAATTAGAATGGTATTATTATTATTATTATTTTAAAGATTTTATTTATTTATTCGAGAGAGAGAGAATGAGAGATAGCATGAGAGGGAAGAGGGTCAGAGGGAGAAGCAGACTCCCTGCTGAGCAGGGAGCCCAATGTGGGACTTGATCCAGGGACTCCAGGATCATGACCTGAGCCGAAGGCAGACGCTTAACCGACTGAGCCACCCAGGCGCCCTAAAATGGTATTATTAATCCAATTTTTAACTGATTTCCTACCATGAAAGTAGGAAAGTCTGTAAGTAAAGCAATGGAGGGAAAGCAATACCCCCACGGAGTGATACAATGCGTAGGAATCAATGATAAGCCTATTAAGAACTTTAATATTGACTCAGCTTTGCATACCTGTCCTCATGTGGCCATACCCAAACACCACAGAAGACCATCAGTTTCCCATTGAGGACTGCTGGTTGGTAAGCATTTAGCAGGACATTACTGAGTGTAAAAAAACCATTTTTCCTATTAAGGATTAAGTTTTCTAAGATGGACAAGAAATATGTTTTCTTTTTTAAAAAAATATTTGATTTTAGTTTAGTTTTTTAAGTAACCTCTACACTCAACATGGGGCTTGCACCCACAACCCCAAGATCAGGAGTGGCAGGCTCCACTGACTGAGCCAGCCAGGCACCCCTGGACAACAAATAGATTTGTCTTAACTGTCTTTGTTGTAGGTTGAAAATGGAAACATTGAAGAGGTCTGAGGTGAGATAAGAAAATTCTAAATCGGGCAATATGTTTTATAAATGTGGAGGGAATGTTTAATAACAAAAGTATTTTTAGAAACCAGTAATTTACATAAAGGATGACGACAGTCAATTTGCCTTTGCCAAGGACAGACCAAGCATGTACTAATAGCGCTCAAAGCTGTCCCCTCCTTTCTATTTGCAACACTATAGCCTTTGAAAGAATTAATCTTCCAAAGGGAAAGTGAGACCACATTGCCCCCCTTCCTAAGATCCTTCATTGGTTTTCCACGGCCCCTCAAGTAAACATCAAATTCCTTAGTATATCGTATAGGGCTGTTTATGGACTGGCCTCTGCCTCTCTCTCCTCTCCCTTTCCACTCTGTGTTTGGAACTTGAGGTTCCAGCAACAACAACAACAACAAAGTATTTGCAGGTCCGCAAAACACCATTCAGTAAATCATGTACTTCAATTATTTGCATATGCTATTTCCTCTTCCCGAAATCCTGTGATATATGTAAGACTCAGCTCTAAAGTCACTGCTTTTATGGAAATTTCTGTGATTCTTCCAAAGTAGTTAGTCACTTGCATATCAACCTCTATTTTAGTACTTAGCATACCACACTGTAATTATTTGCTTATATATCCGTCTCCTTCTCCAGACTGTATGAGGTCCTTGAATGCAGGGCTATGTCCTCTCCCCTTGATAATCCAACACTTGGTGCAGAGTTTAATGAACATGAGAGGTTTGTCTAGAAGCGCTACCAAGGAGCCTGGGTGGGCAACCTGAG